TAAATTGGAGAGGCATCAATTTGATGGATGGACCACTTGGTGGATAAAGAACTGGCTGGATGGCCACATGCAAAGAGTTTTGGTCAATGGCTCAGTCTCCAGTTGGAGACCAGTAATGAGTGGCGTCCCTCAGGGATCAGTGTTGGGAACAGTCTTGTTTAACATCTTCGTTTCTGACGGGGACAGCGGGATTGAGTGTGGCCTCAGCAAGTTTGCCGATGACACCAAGCTTTGTGGTTCGGTTGATACGTTGGAGGGAAGGAATGCCATCCAGAGGGACCTTGACACGCTTCTGAGGTGGGCTGATGCCAACCTCATGAAGTTTAACCATGCCAGGTGCAAGGTCCTCCACCTGGGTCAGAGCAATCCCAGGCACAGCTACAGGCTGGGCAGAGAAGATATTCAGAGCAGCCCTGTGGAGAAAGATTTGAGGGTGTTGGTCGAAGAGAAAATGAACATGAGCCAGCTTCGGTGTGCGTTCACAGCCCAGAAAGCCAACTGTATCCTGGGCTGCATCAAAAGGAGCGTGACCAGCAGGTCGAAGGAGGTGATCCTGCCCCTTGACTTTGCTCTTGTGAGACCTCACCTGGAGTATTGTGTGCAGTTCTGGTGTCCTCAACTTAAAAAGGACATGGACCTGTTGGAAGAAGTCCGGAGAAGGGCCACGAGGATGATCAGGGGACTGAAGCACCTCCCATATGAAGACAAGCTGAAAAAGTTGGGGCTTTTCAGTCTGGCGAAGAGAAGGCTGCATGGAGACCTCATAGCAGCTTTCCAGTATCTGAAGGGGGCCTTTAGGGATGCTGGGGAGGGACTCTTCATTAGGGACTGTAGTGATAGGACAAGGGGTAACGGGTTCAAACTTCAACAGGGGAAGTTTATATTGGATATAAGGAAGAAATTCTTTCCTGTGAGGGTGGTGAGGCACTGGAATGGGTTGCCCAGGGAGGCTGTGAATGCTCCATCCCTGTCAGTGTTCAAGACCAGGTTGGACAAGACCTTGGGTCATATGGGTTAGTGTGAGGTGTCCCTGCCCACGGCAGGGGGTTGGAACTTGATGATCTTAAGGTCCTTTCCAACCCTAACTATTCTGTGATTCCATGAAACTTTGTCTTCTGAATGTATTTTCTGCAAAACCAGTGGTAAATGATGTTTGAACACATATAGCCCTGTGTAGGCTGCATATTACTAAAGACCAGGACTACTCAAGAAAATTAATGTGTACTGAGCTTCCAGTTTTATAGAAAATATTGTACTAACTGTAATGAAGTATTTCTTTTGCTAGATATTTAATGGAAAGATGAATTATGAATGCATAGACAGCCTTATTTATAGCATTACTCAAATCTGGAAAGCTTGACTTTGTAACTGCAGTGTTATTTTTTCATCATCAGTTTTGCAGGTTTTATAAGCAGACAGACGTATATAAGATTTTTGTATCTTTTTACTTATGTTGGGAATGTCACCTTTACTAGAGAAAATAGATGAAGAGTGTTGTAGTAGTCTAAATAAGAAGACAGAATATTTTGTGTTTGGACACATAAAAACAATGGAAATAGTTTGGTCAGGTGTGGTATTCCTTCAGGAAAATCTGGTGAATGTATATTTTTGCTGTTGTGCTTATTAGGCAGAAAGTGCTCAGAGTAGTTTTTCTAGGTCTAAACTCATAAGGAGTTCTAGAGAAGAAATATGGCCCCTCTTTGAAGTCAGTAGGAGTTTTACCATTCGCTTCAGTTTGTAAGAATTTAACCTTAATTACTTTAAATAGAAGGAATCGATTATTCTTGATTAGTTGCTTTGCAAATAAAGCAAGTAAGTGTTGACTGTGTTTTGGAACAGTTGGGAAAAACAGATGCTTATACGAAATAATGAATATCAAAGAGCTCTACATAATTACAGCACAACTTTCTAGCAGTACCTTGTGACTTTACTATGAAGACATTACACTTTCAATACAAGTGCTGTGTATTAATCAGTTAATGTAGGATTTTGAAGAGCTACTTAAGTGCTGATCATTAGTAGTAATTTATCCTATATAATGTTTTACTATATGGCAGACATAAGCATGGTTGCATAGTTGTGTCAAAAACTTGCCAAAACTGTAATTGCAGAAAAAAAAAAATTAGCTGGCCAGGCACCCAGTAGGTATTAAAGACCTTGCTTATGTCAGTCTTGCAAGAATGAAGACTTATCCAGAGCTGGTAAAAAAAGACAAGAATATTTCCATGCGTTTCCCAGTAAAATTCAAGTTTGGGTAAAACTCAAAGATTTAACATATTGTCCAAATGTGTTAAAAATAATGATACTGGAAACTTTGAGATACCTTCTTCCATCAGATCAGTGCAAGAGGAATGACTACCAATTTAAAAAAGGTCAGTGTAAGACCCTGAAAAAACACAGAGGTCAAGAATATAGTGAAATTTTGAAAAGATTATTTAATTGTTTCACAACTATAAACATGTGCATTTTAAAAAATAAAGTATGAAATATGAAGTAACATAATCTTCAAACTATAAATACACACATTTTTAGAACAAAATGTGAGTTATAAATCTTTATACAGTATAAACTTCTAATAGTTATTGATGCTTTTTTCTGGCTTCCCTTTCATTTTTTGTCAATGATTTTTTTTTCAGTTCTCCATCAGAAGATAACAGACACTGCTAGAGTCACAATACTGAACTGATACTGATGCAGTTTGATCTCGTATACCTTATCTGGCAAAGCATTCCTGTCAATATACTAGAAGATTAGATAGGAATACTTTCATGTTTGATTTTTTCAGAACAAGCAGAAGCCTTTCATTTAGGCATGGGATGCTCACTCACTCATTTACCATGGTTATTTAATCTAATCATGATGTTCTTTTCATGTTTTCCTGTTTGCTTAATTGAGGTCATTATCTGTCAGTATAACTTACATAAAAATATGATGACATTGATAATGTTGGCAATATTGCAAATAGCAGCATTAAATACTGGAGGAAGATGTGGAGTGGAAATGGCATATATAATGCATTTAGTGCAGACACACTGGATAAGGCTATTTATCTGCTTCAATACGTCAAAGAGCATGGGAACCCACAAAAATGTTATGTGTTTTGAATGAATCACAATAGAATTGTTAAATCTTCATGGAATGTCTTATAGAACTGTTAACACATTATAGATTGCCATTTGAAAGATACAAAATTTAATGCTGGTGACTGGCATATGCAGAGTATTTTTAAAATACCCATTGTCTTACACTCCTTCCAATTCCTTTAAGCTTGAAATATTGAACCATTATGATAAAAGGAGCTGAGCAACAAGTGAAAAAAGGGATTTCACTTGTCAGGTTTCCAACAACTATAAATGCCTCATTGCTACTGAAAGCATTTAGATTATTGAAAAATCAGTGACATGACCAAAAAAGTAATTTAGTAAAATATACATACAAGTCTTTACCTGGAACTTTTTTGCTGGTTTTTATCAGTTAGGAACTTTTACTGGTTTAGAATGAGATATCCTTAAGTTATCCCCTAGACTAGAGCAAGGTTTAAAACACACTTGCAAGCAGAGGTTTATAAACTGCTTTAGAATCATAGAATAGTTAGGGTTGGAAAAAACCTTAACATCATTGAGTTCCAACCCCCCTGCCATGAGCAGGGGCACCTCATGCTAACCTATGTCACCAAAGGTTCTGTCCAATCCGGCCTTGAACACCACCAGGAATGGAACATTCACAATTTATTTGGGCAACCCATTCCAGTGCCTCACCACCCTTACAGTAAAGAATTTCTTCCTTATGTCCAGTCTAAACTTCCCTTGTTTAAATTTGAACCTGTTACCCCTTGTCCTGTCACTACAGTCCCTAATGAAGAGTCCCTCCCCAGCATCCCTGTAGGCCCCCTTCAGATACTGGAAGGCTGCTATGAGGTCTCCACGCAGCCTTCTCTTCTCCAGGCTTTGCCAAATGAAATGACTTGTATATTTTGTTGTTGTTTTCATTATCATCATGGGAGTCAATTAGGTATAGCTAGGTCTGCATAATCTAAATGATTGAGAAATATATGAACATTTTTCTTTGAAACAATATTTATGGTCTGAAATATGTTACAAATATTGTGACATATTTAAATATTGTGACATATTTAAATATTTAAATAACTGTTAGAAATTAATTAGTTTCTTATTCTAGGGTATATAAAGAGTTTTCTCTTAAAGAAACCCTAGAAAGTCCTGAGATAGATATCATTAGATAGCTCTTATTGTTCATTTTGTATGAATACTGCTTTAGGATTCTTCCTTCCCTCAGCCAAAGGGAATGACAAGCCTTCTTTTTCATGGACAGAAAATCCAACATGAATAGATTTTTAAAAAATAAATTAAAAAAAGAGGCCATTAATGATTAGATTGTATAACTTCTGAAATTACCAGTCATTTCTTGGAGATCTCCTGTCTGAGTACATGGCTCTTCTAGTAGAATATCATCTGAAATAAGACTAAAGAGAGATCAAAGTACCGAGAGAATATCAAACATTAATATTCCATAGAAACAAAAGAGATCAGATTGTTAAAAATCTAAGAAATAGTACTGCAAAGGAAGTAGAAATGAGTTAGAAAAAAAAGAAAATATGGAACTGGAAGATATTTCAGAAGTCTGAATAAGAAAGATCATGAATAATTCTAACCTGCTGATTGCCATTCAGTTGTACAGCACAGGTGTTTCGTTGTGTCTTTCTTCACAGGCTGTGTTAATGTTCATCACTTGAGGAACACAAAGAGAACCAACAATTCCTTTTGTTATTTTAATTATTTTCATTCTCCACAACATTAAAGAAATTAGATATTGATTACATTGACATTTATAACTAATCAATTTTTTCAGTGTTTCAGGGTAAAGTATGTGGTGAATGCACTTTGCACAGTGAAATTCTTCAACAACCGAAAATAATGCAGACTCATTACTCCAGCAAGGCAAGATTGTCTCTGGTTGGAAAATGTCAGTTCAGTAATATAAAATTTTGCAATCACAATTTTGAAATTTATTGCTTCCAGCAGTACACCTGAAAAATAGAAGTTTTTGGAAAGGAACATATTTTTGGTCCAAACGTGAGAAGGCAAATAGTCTGGTGGTTAGGAGATATGCCTGAGGTATGATAGGCAAGAGGAAATTCTTCTTCTCTCAGATTAATAGCAACTTGTTAGATGTCTCGCAGGGTCAGTGCCCAAGCTATTATCTCTTCTGCACATTGGCTTCCTCTTCTCTATGGCTTTATAAGGTATTCTGCACTTCATTCAGTCTGGAACCAAAAGACCCATGTGTCCTGGGTTCAGCAGTAGCAGCCATGTTTCTCCTTCATGTTTTGACTTCCAGCCTGGGAACAGTGCTAGTGATACTGATGTTTTCGGTTGTTGCTAAGTGATGTTTACCCTGACCAAGGAATTTGTGAGGCTCATGGTCTGCCAGGGAGGAGGGGAAGCCAGGAGGAAGCAGAGATGGGGCCCCTGACCCAGGCTAGCCAAGGAGGTATTCCATACCACAGCACGTCATGCCTGGGGTGGGGGGTAACTCGGAGTTACCCGGAAGGACACGGGCTTCTGGGTGGGACTCGTTTCTTGGCCCGTGGTATTGTATTCTCTTCCCTTGTTATTTTCTCTTATCATTGTTGTCGTTGGTGGTAGCGGTGGTGATTTGTGTTGTACATTGGTTGCTGGACTGTTCTTGTCTCAACCCATGGGAGTTGCACTCTTTCAATCCTCCTCCCCATTCGTCAAAGTTTTACAGACTGGAAAACCTGTTTCCCACTCAGCTCCATTTGTAATCAAGTATCTTATTCCCCCTTAGTCTGAAAGTCTGCCTTAAAGCTGTTGAAACATGATGAAATTGAGAGAAACCTGCAGGGTGTTAGTCCATTCTCTTACTTCCCATCAAGTAATGATCCATAGTCACTTGCTTTCAGTGAATGTTATGAGTCTGAAGAAGACTACTCTAAGACCCCTTCCTACAGCTTCATGGAAAACAAAGTAAGTTCTATGAGGCAGCTCACTTTGTGGAATAGTGACCTACCAAGACTGACAGTTCACACAATGTAAATTCTGGCCTGATAAGTTAGGGGTTTGGTACACCAAACCTCAACCCTGGTCTCTTTCACGACCACTGGCTTTTTGCAAATGAGCTGATGGCTGGTAATTTACTTCTCTGATAGTGAACCTGTCATTCCTGTAACTTCCTGACAGTGTTTCCAGCTGAACTGCTGTTTGAAATCAGGTTCTTTGTCATTGTAGGTAGCAGTAGGAGAAAATATATACTTTTGTGTTCAATGAATACATGCTTTGCAGTTACTGCTCCTGTGGGTTTTACCTACAGTTAATAACTTCTGAGAGGCTGGTAATCTCGATGGATGATGTAGGCCCAGATAAATTGTTAATTTCATCTTGGAGTTTTGGTCATTTGTATTCTAAATAATTAAGCACTGTATGTATGTATTCATGCATATATTTATTTATTTGGAGAGACTGAATATATCAGAAGTATCATTTATTCAGTTCTGTTGGAAACACAATCACTATGCTTGTGCTGGGAAGCTAAAGAACTCAGGCATGGGTTCAAGAACTCTCTGGGATTAGCTATACTGTTAATTGCTACCATGATTCCTAACTTAATTTTGGACTGTGCCAGCTGTGCCTGGGCACAGTTTTGGAGTCACCAGGGACAGCAGATCATTCCTAATAGGCCATTTGGACTTGGCTACTCTGTTTTGGGAGGGAAGATGGCTAAGCTCTGTGGACTGATATGAGCTATGTGATGCCAGCTGGCCTCGGGTTCACAGAATGACCCACAGCCTATTTAATTTACTGGTGTAGATGTAGCCAGTAGAACTGTGGCCAGCACAACAAAAGATGAGGAAGAATATTTTCAGTACTCAAGAATATTTTCATCTTAATGTCAGCAGTGCTTCAAGTCACCTTTTCCTAAACCTGTATAAAAACTTTTTTTTTTTTAATAAAATACATTTTTGAAGTTAGAAAGAATTATCTTTGCTCTTTTAATTTAAGCTGCCCAAGCTAGGAAGTGCTCTAGGGAAGCATTTTCATGGTGCTCTGAGTGATTTCATACTTATCTATTTAATTATCTTCACTCATAATAAACTCTGCTTTGTAACAGTAGGTAGTGCTCAAACTTCTTCTAATTAATGAATTGGTTAATGGACAACCTGCAGAGTCAGAATATGCTAATTTAGAGAGAATCTAGTCAATTTAGTGAAACCTACTGATGCACTTCAAGCTGCCCAAATTTTGGACCAGTAAAGTAGAACAGCCCTTCCAGGCAGAAATCAATGGTCACTGTCAGAAAAGCTGGAGTTAAAAGCAAAAAAAACCCTGTGTCTTTAAATCTGTCACAGTGCTGAGAGTTGTTACACTTCAAAATTCTGCTTCTTTAAAGACTTTTCATGAATAATACATTACAGACATGAAGATGATACCTGTTATTGTGTATTAGCATGTAGTTCTGAGGTACACTCTCTGTGTATGGCTCTTCACTGTTGAACCCATTCTTGTTCATTGACAGCAGACAATTCTGGGATCCTGAGGCCATGCTGAATGCAAAGTGATGACAGATAATAAATGGCAAACAGTGTACAGCCTTGGCAAGCAGTCAAAAGTTTAGGCACCTGTGCTTTGGAAGGGAAGGTAGCATGGGTACAGCAAGGCTCTCAAGATGACCAGTCAAACTGATGTCTTTCAGACTATGGAACTCAAGTAATGTCATGCATAAAACAAAAGATGAAAAGTCAGAGTAGTAAGATGAATTTTGAATAGAAAATAGCTAAATAAACTGCAAACAAGAGAGCTTCTAGGGATTTAACTGGTTGGTTTGCATGAACATCAGGGAGAAATAATCAAAAAGAACATTACAGGGAAGACAAATGATTTCTATCCTTGCAGAGGATTGCCCCTGGAAAAATAATGCAGTTCAGCTACTGTCAGAAACAAAAGCACTCAGAAAAATTAATAGACAGATGAGTAGCAGCTCCTGAGCATGTGACTCTGTGTGTGTCTGAATTCTGGAGATTGTGAGTGGAGGTGCGGAGTGTGTTACAGAGGTTTGCAACTTCTAATTAAAGTCTTCTGTAAGTCTGAATTCCATCTACCTAAAATTTCTTTGCGAAAGGTCTTGAACACTGAATACTGACAAGATTTCTTTAAATTACAGGTACATTAATTGAAACAGCAATTAGAATATAATTTATAAAACTTCCTGGTGTGAGGAAGATAAAAACAAGCTTGACTTCACACGTGAATACAATGGGGTTTTGGTGCCAAAGAGTTCCCAGTGTATGTAAACAAAATAGTAGGGAAAAAAAAAAAAAAAAGGAAACATTTTATCTGGTTTTCAAAGTGTTTGCTAAATCCCACATAGGAAGAACTTAAGGAAGCTAAATAATGACTGGTTTGCAGGAAAATTACTATCATAGATTAAAAAGTAGGTAACAGATAGAAAAAACTAGAAGGCTGCCTGACCTTTAATTTCTTTTACATAGGGTTAAAAATTTTCATATAAAAGGAAGGAGCAATGAGGTGGTAAAATCTGTAAAACAGAGCTACTAAGATTAACAAACACAGGAAAATTCAGAAGGACCCAAAAACATTAGAATAGCTATACTGGGTCAGTTCATAAATCAGCTTGGGCCAGTACCTTATTTCTAATTCCCTAATATAGGAGAAAAGCATACTAAGAAGAAAGGCAAATGCTAGTATTTCTCCCAGTACATCCTCCTAGCTTCTAGCTATCTGTAGCAAAGACACTTCCCAGGACAGAAGATCTATCTGAGACTTTGTATTTAATAGATTCAGGGAATCTAACGAGTTGGATGTGCAGCTTGATGGCAAATGAAATTCCATAAAGATAAATGCTAAGTAATGCATATTCCAGTAAATAATTTGATTTATACATATTACTGGATTCCAAATGAGCTGAAGTCACTGTGACAAAAATAAAATTTAAAAAATATAAAACTGGGGCCCCAATATGAACCCTTTATTATTTGTCATTTATATATTAATTATCAGTATTGCAGCAGAATCTCCAGACACTGATTGGGTATCTACTGTGCTCATGCATTACACAGATAAAGAAAAAAGTCTCCAGCCTGAAAGACCTTGCAGTCTGGGTATAACAACAGACAGGCAGATGTGGGGGAACAAGGAAACAATGAGGCAATATTGATCGGAAGGATAAGCAGTGGTGTCATATTAATTGACCTTTGCTCATTCTGCACTGGTGGTCAAAAAGGAAAAAACATGTTAGCATGTATAATGCCATTACATGAATCAATGAGTTCTAATCTTCCCATCTCAAAAGCCTACAGTAAAATCAGACGGAATTCAGAGCCAGATGACAGAAATTATTTGAAAAGAAAACAGAAATGTGGGATTCAAAGATTGGGAATAGTTAATTTAGATTTTAAAAACCATGTTTTCAAGATGCAAAATGATAAAAGAATGTGTAATAATGGCACACAATATCATTACAAATTATTACACAAATACATTGTCAAGTGGCCTTCCCTAATTAACTCTTCTACTGATATAGGACATAAGAAAAAAAAACAAAACCAAAACAAAAACAGAGAAACAAAAAGACACATTTAAAATGTAATTTTTCCTCACGCAGGAACTGCAGACTTAATTTATGGAATGAACTGTTATTGCTTGATGTCACTATGACCAAGTCTTCAGTCCTATTCAAAGTGGAACTGCAGGTTAATTGGGATAATGTCATGTGTAATTGCAATTCTCTTCTTTTAATGCTATGTATATTGCTACACATACAAGCCTTGTCCAGCCATTAGCTCATGAAGGACAGGAAAATATTTTCCTTACAGACAGTTTAGTCCGTAATTGTCCAGCACAGGCTTCTTGCTGCTGTTGAAGCCTTTACTGCTAGCTACAAACTGTGAAAAATAGAACACCAAGTTAGACTGGTCTGATCTAGAGCAGCAATTGCAGTGACCTTTGATGAGAAACTCTATTAAATACTGGAATTGAGATTATAATGTATGCCTATAAGTAACTGGCAACTCTTAGTTTTTAGCGTGCATTTGGTTTTCAGTTCTGGCTCACTGCACTGCAAGAGCTGCAGCAGGACTGGCATGAGCATTTCAGGGATGTCTTTCTTTTTACCTGCTTTCTCTAGTAGTAAGGAAGGAGGGAAAGAAAGGGAAAACAGCAACGTTGAGCTGATTTAGCTACAAATGGTACTGCTATCTTCAAGAACAACTAGAAACTGCACAATGAATAATTCAGCATTTTGTCACTTCAGGGGCTTCCCATTCTGCCTTTATAATTCAGAACCCTTCCTTCCCTCCTCCTTCTTGTTAAGGAGAAATCTGAGCTGGAAAGGCAATCTCCAGGGACTGCCTGCCTGCTTAACATGAATGCGGCATTTCCCTGGGGTTTTACTGGAAGCTCCCAGCTGGAGGTGTGTTGACCATGTCCATGCGGGACCTCCATGGCATACACATCCTGGCCATGCTCATGCAACTGTGACACCTAAAAGGGATTTCTTCTAAAAACGTGGGGCTTTTCCTGTCTTATTCACTGCATTGTTTGAGGAATGGGATGTAATATGACTTTAAGGGAAATTATATTACCTGAGGGTCCCAGAGTACTAATAATTTACAGTAGGGTTTCTTTGTTTGTTTTGGCTTTTTTTTTTTTTTTATTTCTGCAGCACAGAAAACCATTATTCAGTAACAAGGTCTGATTAAAGACAGAAAAAGTAAGGGATGAGTGGGCAGACAGGCACATACTATAAGTACAACAATTTTCTAGCACTTTGTGTGAGGAGCTGAAGACCTCTTCTTGTCCTTCAGATGAAATTGCTGGCATTCAATGATGTTTATATGCACAAAACCCAAATAAACAAACAAAAAAACCTGTGCAAAAACCCCTTTCTCTGCCCTTGCTGCCACTGTCATTAGGAGCTTACATTCCTGTAACAAAACATTGAATGAAGAAAACCTGTACTGAAAGAAAAGCTTTAAAATAGGCTTCCAAGGACAACATATTGTTAAGAATATGTTGAATAGAATTGTGCTTTTAAGAAGTCAGGATTTGGGAGTCAGTTCATTTATAGTGCCAGGATTTATTATTGCAATGTTAGAATTCATATATGCAACACTAAATACTAAGTTGTAAGAGAATAGTCAATATGGCCAGGTGAATGCTAAAATTTGGGGATTAACATTTTTTTTTTACGTTGTGTCAAAGCTCAGCACACTTTCTGGCTCATTTTAAGGAAGTATTTGGTCCAGATTGTGGTCCATAACAAAAAATAGATACAAAATCAATGCACCTGTCTGCTGTAGGGGAGGTATTTGTGAATCTGTATTCACTCTTTTTTTTATTTTTTTTTTTTTTTGTCTAAGGAAGGATCACCATTCTCATATAAGCCTCTTTTCTTACATACTAATAAAATGCTCTGCCTGGCTGAATGCCCCTTCAGAGATCAGGGACCATTTCAGCCCCTTCAGAGTACAGGGAATATGATGCAGATTCTAGGCTGATTGCAAATCAGGGAGATATATTTTCTTAGCACCTTTTCTGCAGTCCTGTCTTTGCAAGGTGTTTCTTCAGCAAAGTGCTAAGGCCAAACAGAGCAAACATTGGTTTTCTGAATTATCTCAGAGCCATAGTTTTGTCAGCTAAGGCTGGGTTGCCACTGAAAGGAACAAAGTCCTACTCTTCCTTTGCCCCAGAATGAGAACTTCCAAATTCTTCACTGTGGTCATCCAGATTATGGACTTCATCCTATTAAAAGGCAAACCCCCTGGAAAATATTTGATTTTTAGCAGATCAGTCCTTGTGGTGGTACAGTGCAATCATGGGGGTGGGGGTGGGGCAGGAGCACCATGCGGGTTGAACACAGATTTCAGATCAGCTTCCAACATCAGGCAACTGTACTCTCAGTTACTTCATTTGAAACCTCACTCTTTGAGAACTGTACAGTGTTCCTAAATGAGAACGTAAAGGCACAGCATGATTGTAGATTTTACTCTCCAGTGATGCCAAGCCTTAGTTTATAACTTAATAAAAATCATGAATATTGAAATTGTGGCATTTTGGCACTGTGTTTGGTAGGATATCATGCTACATAAAACTGCCTTCAGGAGCTCTCATGTATTTGGAAGGCTATTTGTAACATGAAGCCGAATCAGACAGACAGTGGAGAATAACATATGTCTTCAACATTTCTTTACTGACAATTTTCCCCATTTTTTTTGTATTACAACAATTCTGTAGTTAAAGCTATAAGAGTGGGTTGTTCCATGAACCACATAGCAGATGAAATTAGTCATTAGCTGTGACTACCCAAAGCTGTGCACGTTTCTGTTTGCCAGTCAGTATGCTTGGCTGACTGGCCAGTAGGTGCATGCATTCTGCTGCCAAAACAAGACGGATAACAGATGTATTCTGCCTTTCTTTCCCTTCCTGGCATTCTCCTTCAACCAGATAATATTCTTCATGAAACTTGCGGGAATTTTATTATCTTTGAGAGTTCAACTTCTCTTTCCAATTTGCTGAAAATTAATCAACAATGCAAAATGTAGCAAGTGTGGTCTGACAGAAAAAAATGCACAAGAAGTTAAACTGTATATGCCTCAGAAAATCAGTGTCAAAAACATATTAAAAGTAAACTGTTGAGAGGATATTTTCTTCTAGCTGTAGTCAGACTCCATATTGCAGAGAATTGAAACATAATTTTTATATCAATCTTGACACACCTGAGCAGAAAGCAGTCCAAATTTGAAGGCATATCCAATGTCTTTTGTTTCAGGATCTTATCTCCATGTCTTTTTTGTCTGTATAATCCTACTGAGGTTCAGCCACTCTCCTATATGTTTCCACTTGCTGGGTATTTTACTGCAGATCACATAACTTTAGGCAATGATAATATTATTATGCTAATATTGTTATTTGTCAGCATTATTTAAACAATATTTCATAAGTTAATTGGCTGCAATTATAAGTGCCATAAAAATCTTATAAAAGGAAATCTACTCCACATAAATAAAGACAATAGAGGCAGTTTTCCTGCTCTGAAAGACTTATCCTCAGAAGCTTGTCCATTGCTTCCTGTTATGTCAGGTGACCGGATAAAAGATACTACTACTTCTTACAAAACCTATCCTTCTCACATGCCTATAACTGTTTTGGCTACAACACTGTTGTCTGATGACTGACAGTGCAGTCAGCTCCTGAGTTATGCTACCCTGTGCAGGGAAAAAAGTTAGCTCTTTTTGTGAATTCTAATACTGGATGCATCTTAGGATAACATTTGGACCAGTTTATTCTAATGATATAAATTTCACAAGAAAGCAGGTATACAAATTTCACCTCTAGCCTTAGCATCACCTCCCTCACTGTTGTCCCCATGCATGTATTTTCAAGTGAGCAGCTTCATTCTTTTTCATATTGCATTGCAACCTTCAGATAGCTCACTCGTATTAAAGTGCTAAGCTCTCTTGTATTTCTGGTTGTTAGCTAGTGCATCAATCTTTAATCCATCTTTAAAAGTTATAAATATTTTCTCATTGTCACCATTTTCATCTGCATTTTTATATTTCATCTGTTCTCTTGATAGATGATTTTCTTTTCTCAAGTTTGCATAGTGCACATTACAATAGGCCTGGGGTCTGTCCTGTACGTACAGTATAGTGATACTGCATACAGAGGGTATAGGGTGTTAAAGAATAGAAAACTAGAAATGGAAGAATTCTTATTAATTGTGTATGTCTATATATATATATCATAGATCATATAATATCTTGAGTTCGAAGAGCCTATAAGGATCACAGAGTTCAACTTCCAAATATATATATATACATAATATATATATATACACACACGTACATGTGTAAGTGTGCACATAAAAGAGAAAACAATATTCAATATCTTTTTCCTTTCCTTGAATTTGGTTATGGTGATTCTGATTTTTAATTCCAAAGCCACTTGGACTCAGTCAGTACCACTGACAGAAAGCTGAGGGAAAGACACTGAGATTTCCACAGTAAAAGTCATTTAGGCAGAGTGGCTGAACTAAGCATGTGCTTCATGAAGTTGGGGAGAAGAGAACAGAATGTTATGACTAGCACATTTCAACAATCCATTTTTAGAAATGTCAATTGCTCTGAGTTATGAAGAAAACAACAGCCCCTCACAGTGCCCAGACCCTAATCCTGAGTTTGAAAGATGGCCATGGCTCGCAGCTGCCAGTGTGTAGTAGGTGTGATGCCAAACACCTCAGAACTGTTTTTCTCATGCTACATGTGGCTGGGGGGAATCACCACCACAGGTGATATACATCACATGTGCAGTGAGTCCATGTTGCACATGAAACACAGACTGAAGTCTTACGTTGCATGCTACCTGGAATCCCTTTAATACAGACCTGGCATCCAGTGTTTCAGCACAACCTGATTCTTTAAATGGTCATGCCCCTCCACTGTTAAGGTTGACCAGTTTTGGATCTTTGCTTTTTACATAAACAAAAAGTCCCCACTATCCCAGTCATGTTAGCATCACACTTTGTAGGTCAATCCTTTAATTAAAACATTTTTTGAATATAGACATCATTAGATTCAGTTGTCCAGCTTTGCAATACTCTCATAGGGTGAAAAAAAGAGTGAAAGGAATACATTGTAATTTCTTGTATTCTTAGTCTTTTTGACTGATGTCCCATGTGCTAGGTTTTGTTCTTACAGACTCTTACAAAAATGCCTAACTCCCTGCATTACACAATAGCTTGAGGATATCTGAAAGAATGTCATGGTGATATTCACCATGACAAATTCCATGGTGAAGGCTGATCACTAACATCTGTGATAAAGGAACTTTTCTGACTAATCCTATTGCTCAACATACTGGAAGATACAAACTGATCCTATCCATCTAAACTTCTCCTACTTGCAGACACATTGGCTCAAATATCCACCAAAACTCAGGCAGCAATCCAGACTGCTTTCTCCCACTCCAGTTTGAGTTACATGTAAGGGTGTCACAGACATTGAGACTTCACTGCCTGTTCAGAAGCCAGAGGCTCTTGAATAAATTTAGTAGGTGCCAGTTTCAAAACAAAACAAGGAAAACAGCTTTCTTTAAAAATAAATATTAGATCTATTCAACTTCCTTCCAAAGGATGCTGCAAATGAAAACGTGCATTTGCTTTCAGGAGAAGTAGTACAAAAAGAAGAGATTTCTAAATAAAGTGTGTCAAGTTTGACAGATCCCTGTACAGAAAGCAGACAGACATGGGAAAAAATCTGGGGGAAATGCTGTTTCTTGCCTATTCTTGCACTCAGCTACCTCTTCTTGCCCTCTTCTCCCATTCTCCTGGCATAGGTTTATGGGTACTGAGAACAGTTTACTGGATTAGGCGACTTCTTGGTCTGAAGTGGTACATCTGTTCTTGACTTTTTTAACTGCTTAATCTTGTAAAAACCTGACTTCTGTAGGCACCTTTTAGTCTGGTGTGGAGGTTCATCAGGTGTACACATTTTTCACCATTATGAGTTCAGAATTAGAGGGTCTTCCAGTTCCTTCATGAAATCTGTTCTGCTTCAAGATTTCCAAATAAGCCAGCTAATCAACACTTCTCATAGTGAGTAAGAGCATTTGCTCAGGCAATAGATGACCTACTGTCCAGGTGACTCAGTCCCATTTTGACATTCTTGAATGCTATCACATATCCAGTTTCCTAATATATCCCCAAAGCAGTAGCTTTCCCTTTGTGAACAGAAAAGCTTGTTCAGATGCCAAAAATATTGCTGCCTAGATACTAAAAAATCCCTGCTTCCCAGCCCTCACTAAAAAGTGGCACTGTCCTGGTTTGTTCAGGCTTTTTTCCTTCAGGCACTCCACATGCACCACAGAAACCTGGAGATTTCTGTTCCTTTTTCCTCCAATTTTACAAGGAAGCCCACCCTGAGACACTGAATCATGACTACCAACATTGCAGCTTTGGAAGATTTAACTGGGAAGCCCCACAGAGCCTACTAACATCCTATAATTGACTGAGGGGCTGCTCCTAAAGAGTAGTATAAGGAACTCCCTCACCACCAGTCTCTCATGATTGAGTGTTTGCTTTTGAAAAGAGTTCTTCACACTGCTTGCTTTGAGAGGGGAAGAGGAGGGATAAAGAGGAGTGAAGCCTCAATTGCAGCTTTCACTGTTTTCAGAAGGAAAATCTCAGCAGTACACATGCAAGCTGTTATTGTTTGGTCACTTGTCTCTATTGTCTGCCTCTGCTTGGAAGAATTAAAGCATTTTCAGAAAAGTAATCTTATCACGAGAGAGCAATTAGACATTTTGTAATCCTATCACCCCTGTGCTGAAATTACCGTGCCCAGTTAGCAATAACTCTGCTTCTAACAGAGTGAGCAGCAGCACAGCATGAATTATTTAACTCAATGGTGCGCTTCCTGTTTTCAAGTCACCAGAATGATACAGGCACGACAGACAGTAATTATCCCCAGCATAGGGAAAAAACAGTTAATGGAACCTGCCTTTTAAATCAATATTATTAATTCAAGGAAAGAAACAGCATGTACTATCTGACGCCTATAGAGTTTTGATCTGGGCTTGATGTCACACTGAAGCAAGTGGTTGCCATGGAGATTGGAGCGTATGTCTGCGTATCCCTCCCCGCCAGCGATGCGAGGAGTGTTTTTGGAGAGGAAGTGCCCATCTGTAGTCAATAGCTATTGTTCTCATGGAACCACATGCCGGCCTCCCTGCAGCCTGCCGAACTGCGTCACGACACTGCAGTATCAGCCCCTTTGAATAAAGACTCCCTGTTGAACCAGATTTACCCACCCTACCATTTTCACTGTCATTTGATTATCTGCTTGTATTTTCTGGCTGTGCTAATGCAGTCTTTTAGCAGTGTTATCAGAGAATCCCTATGGCTCGATACCTTGCAAAGCTGGACAGATCTCCTTGTGTTTGCTTGTTTTCTTCATTGCCCTCTCCATTCGGTCAAGGGAAAGTACCTGTGCTATGCCAGCTGTTTTGCTTTTTCTTCTTTCTTAGACATAGAATACCTTGAAAACCTGAATGTGTTTTCTCACCCTGTAGAAATTCATAGCAACCTCAAACTGCTTGTAATAGATCCTTGTAAATCATCATTGTTAATTGCCAGCATATGTTTGTAGAAAAAGACTGGCAGTTTGGCACAGTCCCCCATGATTACTGAATATACCTGTTTATTAACCAATTAAGTAATGAGCTAATATGCCAATGGCATATGAAATCAGGGCACTATTACTAACTGGAAGATGTCAGACAAATTTACTCCTGTTACCTGAAGACAATGGGATGAAACAACTTCATGAATACCAGGTGCAGTTTGTAGGCTCAATTTCTTTTCCTCTTGAAATACAGTATTCAGAGTAATGTCTGGTAAATTTCTGCCAGAGATTCTTGGAAGTTATTCTCCTGAACAGCATACACAGAAAGAAATGGCTATGATGGAAGCAGATTTTTTTAAATGTTTTCATTTTATTGTTCTTTTCCTCCCATTTCTCTCTTCTCTCTCTATTTTGTGCATTTCATGTCAAGTAAAGGTGCATTTCAGCTATCTGGACTTCCCAGTGTAAAAGATGCAAAAGGCTTTCAGAACAGCCAATATGTGTACCCTCCTGTGCTATCATTCTCAGAAATGGCCAAACCATTTTTGCAGAAACATCAAAATGAATCAGCTCTGAGCATGTACCTGGCGTGGGAAACTGCGGGAAAAACAATTACAGTTTAGTAAATTCCCATAATGGTAAACATTTTGATTGTGAAGAACAGGCCTGCCAGGGATTCTGGGTCCTTATCTAGCCACCAAATATTGTCTAAACTCACTGCTACCAGTGGTAGGTTGATTACAGCTTGAGTACCCCCAGCCTGCGTACAGGTGTAGCATTCACACTCAGCTTGCACTGTATACTAACTTTCCTAATTACATGAGGAATGCAATTTCATATTTGCAATCTGCCCTACTACTATAAAGAACACAAACGGTTATATCGTCCTAGATCGTGTGGCACAAGCAAGGTTGCTGTGGCTGTATGATCACCCATGCAGGGTGATAAGGGATGCACAGGAAAAGAAAGACGACTTTCCCTCACTCTCACCCCCTCCACCTCCCCCCATGTTTTATTTATATCTCTTCCATCCCAGCTGGCACATACAATGGCAACTCTGGGATTTCTGACCCTGAACTAAACTGCTGCAGGGCTGAGCGAGAGACTTGGCAGGTATTTGTTGAAGCTGAACTACATTGCAAATATTCCAATTTTACTGAATCTAAGAGTTTCAAGAGAAGCTTTGAACGGATGTTTCTGAACAGCTTTATCAGTTCTACGAGCAGCATGTTCTTACTACTAGGTTTCCAACAGAATTGCCATATTATGTAATTTTACCTTGTATTTGGGTGCTTTGCTGTATTGTGAGTGTTGACTGGTGATTTTTGAGCTCTTGGGGTAGCCAGATTAGATAAAAAGGCCAGACCCACCTACAGAAAGATGTAAATAGAAAAGCAGTATGTCTCAGTCAAGCAAGGAAACATAAACTTTCACTTTTGGACATGAGTAGCAAGTTGGATTCCTAGTCATGGAAAAAAATAGTATTACTATGTAGGTGAAAACCTCCAGTGTTTGGAAATCTCACAAGGTTTAAAAGGGAAACAGACACCATTTGGATAGACTGGTGTACATAATCATATTTATATCTTGAAGTGGATTTAAACTATCTGTCAGAAATGCACTGAAATTGTCATGTTCCCACAGTACAAGTAAATATCAGTGAATTTTCATTTTGACTCGACTTTCCATTAAAAAACATGTAGAGAAGCTTACTTTCTTCTGTACAAGGTCCTGAATTTTTCACTTGGTTGACTGAAAATCCTATCACATCAAACACAGAAGACCTTGGATTTTGTGTTTTTTTAATAAATGCTCAGGTGGACTAGCAGACATCTGAGATTTTGGGGGCTCTTGGATCTCCAGCTTTAATGCAGCCTACATCGGTTATTTTGGTAACCAGTGTGGCATTTTTTGGTGAAGTAGGGCATACACAGGTGAAAGTCATATGAGATCCTGGGCAAGGATATCTAAATCAGAAGAATTCTCACAGGATGCTTTCCACTTGAACTACATTAACTGCTTTAAAATACAGATGTTTCTGGGGCAATGCTCACCTCTTCTCTACTGGATGACTAGTTCAGATACAGGAAACTGTTTTGTCTCTCCAGCTTGAAAGATTTGGTTTTATTGCTCTCCCATTCTGCAAAAGCACAGTCAGGAAAGAGATACAACTGCTGATTACAATTGCTGTTTCTCCTGTTTAATTTGGTCCATTATGCATCAGAGAACTAAGATTTTCTAGTACCTGAAGGAATCTGTAGGTTAAAAAACAATTACATGGCATTGGTCACCAATTATGAGGCACTGACGTGTGAAGCTGCTTTCTGTTTCCTTTTTTAGGAATCCAACATCAGAACTTAGTGTGGTGCAAAATGTTCAGACACCTTTGTGATCTTATATTCTATAGTCCTGGCACTTCTGATTCTAGTGGGGTTCTCTAATGAGAAAGCTCCCTTCCTTTCTAGTAAAAATTCTGTATTGTAATATTTATAAAATAAAATATTGTGGAATTTCAATTTATGTATATACTTGAGTTTTAGGAAGATTATGAATTTGTTTATTAATTTTATTTTTAGGAAGGCAACATTTTTGCAGACCTGACCAATTCCTAACTCCTATATTACAAATGTAGCAGGCTCTAAACTTAAAATGAGTGAAGATATAAACATGCATTTTTTTTGTTTTTTTATTTACTCTATTTCTTTTTTTCAGTTCATTCAGCTTCTTTGCCATCTTTTCATTGCATGCAAAAGGACATGTCCAATGTTAGTCAGCAGCCATGGACTATTTTATGTTCTGAAAAATCTTTCCAGAAGGGCCCCCTCAAGCAACAAATGGCCCAATTTATTTATGACAGTGCCAAAAAAAACTATTTCCAGGATGTTCATAGGTCAAGAACTCCACTGAAATAGAGAATGCCTCTAGGACCTATCACATTGTTTATTATTCACTGTGTATGTTGTAGTAGTGCCCTGAGGCCACAGTCAAAATCAGGAAGTTGAGGGAGATTGAAAGAATTATGATCTCTCTTTCAGTTGTAGATTATCCTTATAACTTTGTCAATTTCCTGTCACCCTTTTCCTCTAGGACGTTAGTTTACCCTTCAGACAATTTTCTTTCAGAAATCTCCTTCCATTAGCCTCTTATTTCTATTTTTGTCTAACTGTTGTCTTGAGATGACTAGTTATTCCAGTGGTTACATCCAGTGAAAGGATGCTTCAAATGGATGTTTCATGATTTGTCTTTAGATTCTTTCTTCTTTTATACACACACACAGACTTCTATGTGATGTGAATGATCTATCTCAGAGACTTCTCATTTTTTTAGCTTTTGCAGGTAATCTTTGGGAATGGGGGTACTATTCTTGTGTATAGAGCTGCAGGTTACTGTAGGGAACTAGAGCAGTGTCCGAGAGTTCTAAAGATAAGACACGTCACAGCAACTGTTTTTTAATAAGGCCTAACTCATTCTGTTTCTTTGTTTACCCATCTCCTTCCCAGTCCTACCAAACTTTCATTTGATTTGACCTTTTCTTCAGTCGTGCAATGAAATCACTCTGGGTGACTAAGACCTGCCTATCTGCACTGCAACATATTACAGGGAGAAGTTGTGGGCAAAGCTCTGAATCCAAGAGTGTCAAGAAGGAACTATGATTCCTTTGTGTAGTGAGTTTTCTAGGTTGTGTTGTTTGCAGGAAATACAGATTTTTTTCAAACAGATCCACAGAAATCACAGTACATTTTCTGTAACAAGTTCAGGTGAGTAAGCCAATACCTGCCAATGTTGGATAGGATTGTTCCTCCTCTTGCTTAGCTAGCTCAAACTTTTAAAATAAAATAACATCTAAAACAAATACAGCATAAACTTGCCATGCTTGCTATTATTGATGAACACATTGCGAAGAGTAGCATAACAAAATATATTTGCACATTGTACAGTGGAACAAAACATATGTGAAATTTTTCAGGCCTCCAGAATTCATATTACAGTTTCCTCCTCTTGAGGAGGAAAGATGGATCTGTAAGGAAAGTGAGATGAAGGGAAAATGTGAAGTAATTTTATGGAGTTAAGAGTGTGATTGGGCAATAAGAATAAATTTATATTTGTTCTGGTTTGGGGATAAGTTTTTCAGGGGTTAATTAACTTCATGCTCTGTTCATTTCTTCTTTGTGAACTCTGTAGAAATGACTGTTATCCTTTAATTTATTTTTTCTTAGTTAAGTGTTATAATATCATCTTTTTCTGTCCATGAGGTCAGACAGGGGTCCAATTACTCATTATAGCAGGAATTCGTATTTCTGGAGTTTGATTCTCTTGAAGCCTTTTTATGCTTACACTCTCAGTCAGGATAAGCAGGATGAAGAATGAGACTGCGGAGCACTGAGATCAGCAGTGTTTTCAGCATCTGCATGCAATAATGTGATTTGACTGACTTGTATGGACCCGAGCCCAAAAACTACAGAAAGGATTTATGTAGGCTGTGTTGGCTGACATGTGGGAGATGTTCCTACTATAAAAGTTATGCTGATTACAATATGCAATCATTTTCATAAAAGCAGCCAGACTTGTTTCAGTTTTGTTCTTTGGCTTATGTTCCTCAGCTTATGTTCCTCTAGCCAGTTTCCATCCTACTGTTTCTAAACCAGCTTGTACATCTTTAATAATTATATAAGGTTGGTTCAGAAAAATAGTCAAAATTCTACTCATCTGTACTGCATGGAAGTTTGGTTCATCAGTCTTTGAAGAGAGAGACAGAAAAGACTGAAAAATGTATGTTGCCTTCAGTACAATTCAGGTTACTACACAGAGCCTCCTGCTCACCACACTTCAATGAGTCATACGTGTTAAGCATAATAATTCCTCTTTTTTTAATGTGTTCTGATGATAATTTTTTCATTTACAGCTATAAATGTTACATTCATTTTAAAAAGTTGACAAAAATCAGATTGTCAAAAATATAAAATAATTTAACTGAATAATTTTAACTCATTCTAAAATCCATTTTTTTTATTAATGCACATTATAGCTATTTTGCATTAACTTTGTGCAATATGTGCCCTGATAAAATATTTGGAAAGATCTTATTAACCGTATTTGTCAAAGCTTTTTCTGTGTGATTAGGGTTTATTTCACTAAATTTGAATAAAACATCGATCATTGAACTGTCAAATTACAATACAGTTTCTAGTAAGATGTTGGCTGGAAAGGACTCCACTTACACCGTATTATTTTGACAGATTTGGAGTTATATAATGGATTTTTTCTGAGGAAGATGAGATTACGAGTCCACTTGAGTCCAAACAGAGATTTCCATGTTAAAATGAAGCCATAGAGCTATATAACATATCCCACCTTCAATAATTTGCAATGATGCACAAAGGTTTTGTTCTATAGGTCAAAAAAGCTCAAATCCTACCAACCAGAAGGAGATATTAGGTGATTTTTATGATCTGGATAAATGTCACCTTACAAAATAAGCTAAGGGATTGAGAAAGGCATGACATGCAAGCAGAAGGCAAAGTATTTTCTCAGTCTTACTTGAAGTAGCATAGAATCCTATGTCTGGGTAAACAGAAGTTTTGGCCTGTCATGTCTGATTGGTCTTCCAAAACACTACAGAAGTTGGATTCAAAATATAACAATAGTATCATAACAGAATGCAATAGCTTTGCAACCTTGGAGATATTACATTCTTTCACAGTTCAAGTTCTTTTTCAAAGAGCCCTTGGGTCTGGCTATCACATGCAGTGAAATTGTGTTCAAAGGTACTCAGGCTTCCTGTAACAAAACAGCGGCGATGAAGCCTGACAAGAGTTTTTCTGTACCCATATTATGAAGCCTCACAGGGAAACAGCCACCCTGAGATGTATAAAATTATACTGCAAGTGAAGTTTAGTTACAGACTTGGCTAAAATCAGTAAGAAGTTTATTTACATGGCCTTTTTTTTTTGGAGAAGACCTGAACTTGCTCTGCCTAAGCCCTAAGTCAGGATACAAAGAAGTTCTAGTCCGAAGGGTCTGTACTCAATCTTCTGATAAGCTCTGTTGGGTGCATGGTGCCATTCGGCTTCAAGTTTATATACCTCCTGTCACAATGAAATGCAAGCAGAGCAAACAAAGGTCTAGACAACAGACTGAGGATTTACAGTTCATTATGTAAGGCTAAGGCTCGAATACACTGTAGTCCCTTGACCTGGAGGTAAGGGTCTTGGAGATAAAGGGTTTTCCTTATTCACACAAATATGGGAGACAAGCTAAATAAGAAAAGCAAAATACTGTGATACTGCTTAAGGAGCACTCTGTCATAAACTCTTTTTTTTTTTTTCCTGGGGAAATTTATGCTCAGGAAAGACTCTCTGGATGAGCCTACGTAACTCATAAATCAAATGCCATGTATTCTGGTGCCGTTTCTGACAGTCTGTATGTTAATAACATCTAATGTGTACTACTGCTTGTGTTCCCTTGTTCTATTTCTGGTCAGCAAATTATTTGTACAGGGGTACTTAGATTTCTCTTCAACAAAGACAGTGTCAATAACAGTGACGATCCATTTGTGAAATAAAGCTAACACTTGGACACTCTCACCACCTTTGCTACCTGAAAATTGTTTCTTTTACTCTCAGCAAGTTGTAGTATTGTCCACTGTGCTCAGCAGAAAATCAGTTTTAGAAGTCACAATTCAAAAAGGATGAGTAGACCCATGGAAGTTTCTGTACCTTTCTGTTGTCTGGAGAGGTAATTTAACAACTACCTTAGATTAGAAGCTGAAGGAAGGCTTCAGCTGGCTAAACATATGTATTTAGTGTAATTATTTGCCTTGAGTATTACAGATGTGTGCAATGCTGGTGAATACACCTGGTGGCTTGAAGAGAATCCAGGCACTTCTGCAGTAGGAGCTAGAGCACAGCTAGAAATTGCTTGGGCAACTTAAACAGCATTAAACATCCAAGCTGAGACAGACTGTTACTACATTTACATATGTACAGGAAGATGACTGCTTGCGAGCCAGATGTTTAAGTTTCTACTGCAATCAATGAGGGCGTAATTCAGTCACCTAACATATATGTTATCTCATATGTCCCAGGGTACCCAGCATGGACTCCGACTGCTGTGACAAGAGAGTGTGGGTGTTGTATAGGCTCCATTCTACAGAGCCTTCAGCTGACATATTGGATATCTGGGGAATCTCAGATGGCACTAAGCACCAAAGGTTATGGAACAGAATTGAATGTCACATCTAGCCAATATAGCTAGCAGAAGTGAGAAAGCTATTCAGCTCTGTCAAAAATAGTCACCCACTTCTGACCATCTCAGTAGCTCTCTGTACTGCAGTGACTAAATTGACCAGATTAGCAAAGAGAGTAACTTAGTCATCTTAGACACTGAACTTACCCCTGCTTACATATCTGGATCTGGAGCTGAAGTCTACCCCAAGCAGGCAGAGGCCTAAAGTTAGGTAAGATGTATCCCATTCCCAGCATTCAGTACAAGAATACATGAGAGGTGATTCTTCCATCCTCACATTAGCACTGTCATGCTCAGTTTGAAGACACTTGCCAGGCTGTTAACAAGAAGCTGTTTATTTAAAATGTCAGTTATGTAACACGATTATTTAAATGTTTTCTTCTTTATATTACAGTAAATTAACACAGTTTAAAAATTCCTCTCACTTCCCACTTTATTCACTCTGAAGCTACCAGAGTTCTGATTTTCATCAGGACATCAGTGAGTATAATAGATTAAGCAGTCTGAAATTTCTTCAGCCACCTATCCTCCATGTGCAGCTCTCTGGTTGCTTTGTATGACAAATACAATATTTGACAAAAGCAGATTACTTGAAATAATGCTATTAGCTATGCAGCTTTGGTCTGGTTGTTTTGTTTGTTGCTTTTTTTTTGCAAGGCTCTCCCTGTAAAAGGGCCTGGGCATCACTGAAGTACATAATTTCTTAATTACAACCCAGTGGACTAGATGACACCACCTTCCCAACCCCCCAAAACTTGTCAGGTGTTGAACTTTTCATTGGATCACTTCCAAGGAGGAAAATCTTGTCAAGTGTAGCTCTAGCACAAATCAATGGTGTGTTCATGTAAACACTAGTTAGTTCATGTAAACACTAGTTAGTTCATGTAACCACACTCAGAAAACATAATTTTCATTAGAGTTGCTGGTATGATTGTCATCCCTATTAGCCTAGATGTAAATTCAATGATTTACTTCAGAACTTCATAGCCATCAGTGGAGAGGATGTATGCTCTTGCAACATGGGAATTTTGGTTATAGAGATGGTAGACTAAAAGGTGGAGTAGTGAAACAATCAAGCAAATCAATTTGATTTAAGACTAAAATTACCTATCGTTAGTTATGTTGACATTCTTCCTCAGAAGT